GCCCCGCACCGGCCGGATCCCCGAGTCCAGGCGGGAGGACAGGACGGGGACACGCGCGGCCCGGGCCTCCGCGCGGTGACGTGAGTGGCTCTCCCTTCCGTTTCCGCGGCCCGCGCTGCCTCCCCGCGTGGCCTCGCGGGTCTGCTCTCCTGCCCCCGGCGCCCTGAGAGCGCCGCCTCGCCTCGGATCGGGGCGCCTCGCTTGGCGGCTGCCTGCAGGGCCTGGCCGTGAGCCTTCCGCCCCAAGTCGCAGAGGGACGCCGAGCGCTGGAGCTAGGACGCTCCAGGAGCCCGCTGCCAGGGCTTCGCCCTGGAAAACGCCATCCCCAAACAGTTGCTTTATTGGGTTTTTGTAAGTTGACGCCTCCTTCGCACTAGGGGTAAGACTGTTGCCGGAGGAGCCTCCCTTGGCGTGAACCTCGTCGCTGCCGCCTCGGGAAGGGACCGGAGGGCGGCCGGCGGGTGGCCTGCGCAGGCGCACCACAGGTGGCCCGGTAACCTGCGGTCCGCGCGGGAGGCGCCTCGCGGGGCCCGGGGCAGGAGTTGGCAGCGGCGCTGGGAACCCAGCCTCTAAATCCCACCACCCCGTCTCGCTCCTTCACGCCTCCTTCACCCAGGGATGGCAGGAGAGGGTCCGGCGACCCAGCCTGGTAGGGCCCCCAGTGGGGGCGCTTGGGGAGCGCAGCGGGGCACAGGTGTGTGCTGGCCCCGGGTGGGGCGCCCACCCAACAGGTGTCTTCCCAGGGAGCCACCGCAGGGGCGCGGACTGGGCCTCTGCGGGCCGGAGCGGAGCCCGGGCCTGGGGCCCTGGCGGGCCCTGGTGGCCTCGGGTAACTGTGCCCCTCCCAGGTCTCTGCGTGGGGTGCAGCTGCGGCGCAGGAGCGAGGGGGCTCGGGCTGCCGGTCAGGCTGTGTATTCCCGTTCCGGGGTCCAGGAAACCAGTGGCAAACTGCAGCGTGGAGCTTGCCGAGGATCCTCCTCCTCGGGCGGGCTAGCGGCGAGTCGCTCCTGGTAGGTGCTTTGGGGCTCTTTACCCCACCCCCACCAGCACCTCCCCGCCCCCTACCCTCCCTTCGCTTCCTCTTCGTCTAGTGTTGCAGCCCACGGCTAGGAGGGCCCAGCGGCCTGCACCCGGCTGCTGGGGTCCCACTTCGGGTACCCTAGTTCATTCCGGGGACGATGCCTTCAATCAGTGACTGTAGAGCCGGGAGGGGGCGGAGGGTAGAGACCAGGCGGAGACACACCCCACATCCGCAGCCAGGTGGAGCCCACCGCGCCGGATAGCGGGAGGCCCTGGAGAAGGGGCCGAGACGAGAGGAGACGCGCTCTCCAGAGACGGCGATCGGCCCCGGGTCACGTGGCGACCTTCCAGCTGGCGTCCAGTCACCCTGCTCTAAGTTTCTTGTGTGCTTTTAAGGTGCTGATTTTTGCCAGCAGGGACGCCTGGCCTCCGTTTCTAAAGAAGGGTGCCTGCAGTGGGGCCATTAGCATGGGCTCCGCCCTCTCCTTTCCTCCCCTCCTCCCACCGACTTGCCACCTACGGCAAACGCGCTCCTGGGTGGCTCCGCAGCTTACGCCTAGGCTCGGTCGATTTTGACATCAATTAAGGATATAACCAGACAAGCGCACGTGACCGGGGGCTCTCCTCGGAAGCCCGTGCCCCTGTCCTCCTCGGTGCTACCGTCGCGGACGAGGCCTCTTCTCTTCCGCTTGTGTTTTCCCCAGCAATTACACTCCTCCGCTGAAATCTAAATTTTCCATCCTGCTGCCTGTTCCTAATAAAAACCGTCTACCTTGCGCTATTAAACAGTCGAATCGCACTACATGCCGTTTTTATTGGTAGTGACTGTAGCAAATTAAAATGCCTACGCAGGAACATTAACACTTACTCCTCGGTGTTATCGGGATATATAAACTCCGTTTCCCATTGCAGCTCCTTGATGTTTGAGAAATCACTTTTCCTTTGCTTGGGTGAAAGTTGACTTGGTCTTCAGACAAGCATTTCAAAAGATGAGGGGGAAAAGGGCGCTGCAGAGAGGCGGCTGGGTGCTGTGTCCCTCGCTGTCGCTGCCTGTGCGGGTGGCTGTCTCGGTCCCCCCGAGCGGAGGCCGCGCGGGGAGCACAGGGGACCTTGCGGGGCCGCCCCGGGTGCAGCAGGCCTGCGCGTCGCGGCGAGGGCTGGGAGCGGGTGCTCGGGCAGGTGAGGTCCGGGCTCCTGCGGCTGCTGCGGCGGCCTCCGAGCTCAGTGAAGGAAGCTGCCGGGCACGCAGGGAGACAGCAACTACGCGGGAGGCGATCCCTCGCGACGACTGCCCAGGCACTGCGTCCTTTCAGCTTTGCTGCGGATCCTCCCCCGGGCCCCCCGTGTGTGCATTACAATTTAGAAAGCAAAGTTAACGGGGCCGTGTTTTGTCTCTTGTCCCTGCAGGGGCCGAGCGCTTAGAACAGGTCACGGACATGCACGTTGCGGCGCGCTGGGTTCCCCGGCGAGGCCAGGCGCCCAGAGGTGCCAGCGCGCGGGCCTGGGTGCTGGGGCCTCCCCGGAACGCGGCCGGCAGCGCAGGCCTGGGCGCTGGAAGAGGCCGCCGCGTG